TTTTCACGGGTAGATCCATACTTTAAAATCACTCTGATAATCACACTGAACATAATGAGTTTTGCTTAAATTATAATGAATTTTCAGCAATACGACCAGCTCACTAGATACAATTCTCCATATCTTTTGCCCAATTGCTTATTTAAGGCCTTATTTTAAATTCCTCAGAAGTCATGTAATGCTTCCAAAGAGGAAAGAGAAACTATTTCAGATCCCACAAAGGTAGTCTGGACATGGAATATTAATAGTCAATAGCAGTGGATACCAGAAAAAGGCAGCAAGCTGAGTTATTGCATAGGCAGCATTCCTTCATAGTTCCTGAACCCACAGTGATAATATGTGAACTTTGTTCTAAAAATCATTTCTTTACCTTGCCAGATAGCAAAACACGCTACCCAGATCAAAAAAAGTTCATCAGATCAAAGACTGTAACAGTGATGTAGTGAATGAAAGAAAACAGAACTGTAATTCTCTACGAAACACGTAATCACAATAGGTAAGGAAAAGAATTCACTGCTACTGATTCCACCACTTCTCTGGACAGGTTTTTTTCCTCATTTTAACCAAGTCAGAGGGGGGCAGCTAGGGAACATTTTTTCTGCCGTTATTTTTGGTTTTGTTCTGCTTTTTTCTCACTTTTTTAGTAAAATCGTTATCTTTTTTTCTCCTTCATTCAGGCTCCTCGTAACTTCAAAATTTGTCAATATCTGGGGGAGAGAAATAAATGAAGGAGAAGGGAGGGTTTTACCTCCTTAGAGGTCCCACTCTCTGAACATACTGTCATTAAACCAAGACACTTTGCAATAGCAGCTACTACTCATTTCATACTTTGTTCAGCTTATTGTCCCCATTCTTCTGTGTGAGACCCCTCAGCAGAATCACATACATGAAGTGGTACTTCCTACACAATTTCAAGAGCAGCTGGTAAGGAAAAGCTGGCAGGGATAGATAATGATAACAGCTTTTTCATGTCTCTGAGCAACAATTTTTCAGTATGAAATCTGTGGATTCTGAAATGACACTAACCTACACTAAAGGAGATTACAAGTTATTAATCATAATCAAGGTAATGAAAAATGAGGTGACTCCATTGGCATCTGCATCCCATATCAAACTTATCTGATATTTTTAAAGCTTTAAAATGTAGTAATGTAAATCAGATTTATGGAAGATGAGGCATCCTGTATGTAACATGAAACACTAAAAAATTCCTAAAAAAAAAGTGTATTGGCTTTCATTGTCTCAGCAAGACAAGTTCATTATTGCTGAAGTATTCAAGTAGCTAATCATGGAGTAAAAATGACAGCACCAAGAATTAATTACAAACAACTTTTTTAGCAATTTTCCCCTGAGTGTCTCAGGTATAAAGCAACGATTCCAAAACAAGCCAAAATTAGAAACATTAAAAAGAAGAGAAGAAGAATATGCTTTTATCTTTCTATTCCTTGCCAATGCAGTGTTTCTCATTTTCATTCTCTGGTCAGACTCTGAAGACTTTTTATTGTGACTGATCAGTTTACTTTTCAAATATGTGAGAGTTCTTACCAGCTGCAAAGCTGCACTGCAGCCTTTTGTACTTTCAGCAATCTCAAAAAGAATTAGAAGCCTTCTGTTGCTCGTGTGATATCCATTTTGGGAAGAAGTTTCCCTTAGATATTTTCCACTAATTGCCTCAAAGACTTCTACAATAATCCAAAGGCAAAACAGCAGTGCTCTTTTCTAATATAAGACTAATCTAAATTTCCCCCTGCCCTTTTCCTGTGGAAGCAGGCAAACAGTAAACAGAAGGAGAAACCTGCTCGTTTGCCTCATGTGCTGGTTTTGGCTGGGATAGAGTTAATCTCCTTCACAGTAGCTGGTACAGGGCAATGTTTTGAATTTGGGGTTTAACCCAGCTGAGGTTAAACCCAAACACCTCATTTGCAAAAACAGTATAAATGCAGAAGGAAGTTTCCAGAGTAGTTGCTGTGACAAAAGGAGTTGTGAAGGCTAAAAGCCAGATGTGGCTTGAGAACACTGTTTTTAAACTCTGAATCACTTTGTTCAATAGGTCAGGACATATGAAGACTGAGACGTAAAAAGTGCATTTTTGTTTAAACTTAATACAAAAACAAGACCCCTCTTTAAACTTAAAAAGTTAGTTTACAGGCTGACTATAAACTTTGTAACCACCCTGAATGCAGGGCCTGGAAAAAACTCAAGCCAGTGGTCATTTTATATTTTATATGAAAATTAAAAAAAAGTATTTTGCTTTATGATAATGAAATCCCTGTTTCTAGACAGACAGTATCTGTTACTAAATTGTTTTGGTAGTGACCTTACCTGTTGTTAAAATTACTGAGTGCTGTGTAACGTGATCTAACTTTACATATTCTGCCTTGTTTTTCATTTTTTAAGCCACATTTAACATTGAAAGCTTTGTCTATCTAATCAACAAAATCAAACAAGAACTTCCACTATAATTTGTCATAATTCAGCTAGCCTTGCAGACACAGACAAAGAAATCATGAACACAAAAAGTTCTCATTGCAATGGTTTAGATTTAAATGTAACCCGAGAAGGGTTATACACGTGACATGTATGTCGTAATTCCTGAAGATTCATTTTCATGTCACAGATTTACAATCTGTAAACACAATTACCTGTTAACCCATCTGAAAATTATTAGATAGCTATTATTATTAGAGTTTTTTTTCTAAAAGCATCCTATGAAATGAAGTTTCAGAGATCACATCAACCTGCTACCTGTGTTCCAGAATACTGCAGTAAGGATGCTCAGTGTGACAACATTAGAACAGTTAAGTGACTCTCATGAAGCATGCATTCAATGCTTAAATCACAAATGCCAAAGGCACAACTGATGAGAAAACTCTATAATGGTCTGTGATGGACTGAAATGTCGGTAATGCCCTAAACATTGTCAAAATCATAGAAAGACTTTTTGTCCAACTACAAGGAAGCAACTGCCTGTCTGCGACCACCAAAATCTGACTGGAATTTGGATTGTGACTGGGGACTGAGATAAGACTATTGTCTAATCACCTCAAGTCTGAGGAGAAGTAAACAAACAAGGCTCAGGAAAGCAGAATGCATCTGTGTTAAGAACCAGCCTGTGGAAAATATTGCAGAAACCTGGTTAATAGAAAGAGGACATGAGAAAGATTCTGTAGCACTGCTCTCACGCTAAAGGAAAACTACTGGAAGGTCACTGTATTGTGAAGCTACATTGTCTGTGAAACTGCATACCTGATAGAAGAATAAAACAACAGGATGGGAAAAGTAGGAAAAGTAGCAAAGTAGCAAATAAGTAACTATAGGCATGAGAAAGAAGCAGCATTTGCGCAAATATGCCTTAGGTAATTAGAAGTCAATGATGAGCCTATGCTTGTAATATGTATGAGGCTAATTATTAACCTTTATAAGCACAAAGCTTACAGCAATAAAGTTGGATTAGTCATGATCAATACTGTGGTCGTGTGATACTTTTCCCGTCATCTCAACACCAGCCCTTGCTGGACTGAGGGGGTGGTGGAGGAGAAGGGTTTTGGGTGTGTGATGGTGAAATCTCTCCAACCAAACCAAAGCAGTAAAGCCCTCCCCTCTGCTCCAGGAAGACCAGTACACACAGGGACGTTCATGTGAGAGGCAGCTGAGAAGGGGTCATCGACCATCAAAGACCCCCAAAGCACCTCCCCAGCTCATTCCTGAGGCCTTCTACCACCAAAGGACTGCACGTGATCCACGTGAGGCAACAAATCCAGAGCCCGTGCAAGAGGCTGCAAAGCTTCCCCCTGCCCCCAGGGGAGGTGCCTGGCATCTCCTGAACGTACATTAATCCATCAGACTCTATGTTTTGTGGGACCCTCACCACCAAGAAGACCAGAAGACCTGGACCGACGGGATGCCGACAGGTTACACGGAGTGGTGATACCTTTTCTATTTTAATCTCTCTCTGTCACTCTCTTTCTTCTCCCCCCCCCTCCTTTTTCCTATTTCTTTCTATTTTTTCTTTATCTGTCTCACATTTACTTTTAAATAAAACCCACACTATTGACTTTGGCATCTGGTCTCGTTTGCACCTAAATTCGGGTAAAGGCATTTCTAATAATTTTAATAACCAAATCATAACATGGTCTCCTGAGGAGTATACTGTATATACAGCACAGAACCTTACAGGAATTTAAGGGTTTCTAGATTTGTAACACAGGATTATTCATGCCTACAGGCACATACCAAAAAATCAGAGAATCACTGGTAAAAAACCACCGTGCTGCAGAATACACTATTCCCAGTGCACGAAGAAGAAAATTATTCAGAACTTCTTGAGGTTAGTCATTTTTCATACACTTACAAGCAATTATGCTTAATGGAAAGGAGAATTAAGGGTCTCTCAGTCCAGAGTGAGACTAAAAGAAAATACATGTTTTGAACAGAAAAATCCATCATAATTCTTTGGCATTATAGCAGATGAATTGCTGGAGAAAATACATTGTGATGAATAGTATGTTTAGGTAATTACTAAGCAAGATAATATGCCAGTTTCAGTGGGTCTTGATATCATTTTGATACTGTTTGGAAGGAGAATCTTGTACTTTGGATCACTATGGACTGACCATTTGCTACTTGAACATAGTTCTTCTAAACTCTCAGAATTTCCTGAGGCCTCCCAGATAACATGAATTTCACTCCATACTTGGAATCCTATTTCCTAAATCCTGTGCAGTATGAATTTACTGAAAGAAGGCTACTACCTCTTAGATGAGTCAACAAAAATCATTAGAATCCTTGATATTACATCATTTTGGTTGATTTTGGTACAGAGAATTCCATTGATTGATTCTGTCAGTCAAATTATAACACGGGAGCCACCTAAATTTCTAACCATGAAATGCCTAATATTTAAACTGCAGCTTATCTAATCCCTTAAAAATTGCATTTTAAAAATATTTAAGCACATTCTGACTGTTGATATCATTTAATAAAGTTTTTGTGTCCCTTACCTTTAAAGATGATTTAGTTCGAGGTTCTGTTTTCTGCCTGGTGAGCTTGCTTTGAATAAGCAACGATTGATCTGTACGAGTATCATAATTCCCATGTTCTGAATCATCTGTATAAGTATCTTTGTCCTTCCCTACATCTGAAGGAAAAACAGAAGAAAACAGTGGGCTCATTTTAGATTATAGTGGATAGAAATGAATAGCATTATTACAGCCACAGTTGAATATTCATTTTATGTATACGCTTTTCAATAACATATTTTATCTCTTCCTGCAAAACTTTTTTACTTGAAATGTTATCATCTTTATCTTTAAGTGGAAATGACTTCTATTTTTACAGACAGCCTAGAGAAGTGGGGTTTCAGTATGGCTTTACAGTAGTTTAAAAAAACCCCACAAAGTGATATGAATATTCAAATGCTTGACTCACAGTTGTTGAGGCTCAGAATGTTTTACCAAATAGGCAGGTACATCCTGGAGACCAGAGTAACATCTCATGTCATAAATTTCAGCTAGCAATCCAAATGCCCAATTCCCCTCCACACATGCAGATACAGCACTTGAAAATTTGCATCTTAAGACACCGCAGTAAGCACTTCAGAACACATTTTAGGAGGGCTACCTGATGGTGGTAGAAGGTAGAAGGATATCAAGAAGAAAGCATTTTCCTTTTCACTGGATTTAGATTTAATTGCTCAACAGAAGTTTTCATGAAAACTTTGTTGAATGCCCTGAGAGAGCTGCAGGGAACCGAGGACCTTCCTCAAAGCTTACCCTGTATACCCAGCAGGAGTAAAATAAAGGGTAATGTCTGTACAGTGTAGGACCATGTAAAGTTTTAATGAATGTTGGAAAATGGCCAGACTTGAGAAAATATTTTAAAGATTAAAAAGATGGAATAATTATTCCCACACAATTGGAGAAATTGGAAATAGAAACATATTCAGACAAAAACGTTACCCACAAATCCTGAGCCAAGTTCTCATCCCAGCTTTCACATCAACATGGGAAAAGTCAGGAGGACTAGGAACAGCATTTAGCCCAGTAATTCTAAACCCTAAAGAGAAGCCAAGTCATGGTTGCTGTGGAAACCACAATCTTGAATTTTCTGAATATTATATTCATAAAAGCTCATCTGCAACAATAAAGTCTTTTTCATGAAGTTGCTCAGTTAAATTTTCCACAGTAAGTACTACAGAAATAAAAAAAAGAACAAACACAATTATCTCACGTACCCTAAACATTTCACACTTCTGAGATGGAATATTAAAAACTAGAACATTTCCAAGCACTGCTTTTTCTGCAGCTGAGCTACTACATCACCATTACACAAAATGTTTCTCTGGTAATTTCTGATATTGACACTGACCTTGGTAAATCTGTGATTGGATTTTTGTCATGTACAAAATAGCTAATTTTAATCATCAAAGTGCCTAACTCAGGGATTTTATTTATTTTAAACAACGTTTTAACACACAGATAGCTCTCTGGTCAACAAAAATGAATGTAGTAAAAGGAAGGTTTTAGGTAGCAGGTATACAAAGTAGGGAAGAGGACACTTAAGCAACTTTGCAGATTTGCCTCATGCCCAGTGGTGATGAACTCTTAGTTTTACTACAGATCAAGTGCTTGTAATAGAAGCATGTAAAACGAAGAGACAGGACTATGAAATCGTAACTAGGTCATTTAGGCAGAAAGGAAGACTACACTTACATTAAGAAGTCTATTTTTATGAGGGAAGTTTTAGAGGATTATGCCCTATGAGTACACCTAATACTAAAAACAAAACAAACAGCCTTTGCAAAACTACCCAGCGCTTCATTTAAGCAATTTGAAGTTATGAAATAAGATTTCCTTCAGTGCTCAACACACTTTACCTGCTAAACATTTTTATGCTTTCAAGGACACGTATTTTAAAATGCAGCATATCTCTCCTGTAAAAAAAAGGATCATTTCTTATATAAAACTTAAAGGTACTTGCTATTGTATTTCTTAGCAGTTGATTACTCACTTTATGCATGTGAAGCACTCTCCCACTATATGATATTAATACAGTAAAAAGGGGAGCAATTAATAGCATTTAAACATTGCACTTGAATAAGTATTTGTTACACTTGTCTAAAAAATGTCAGACTGAGACATATCATACAATCCATATTTCAAAAGTATATTCAGATGTGTGCATTTTCCTTAACAATCAGGTAGTTTTGGGAACTACTGTCAACAAAACACCTAAAATATGGTTTGTAGATACTTTGAACAGACTAGTACCCCCATTTACCTCTTCTGCAGCATATATTAAAAGAAAATCTTTAATAATCAGACTCGAAGAAAAAGTTCAATAGAATGCATCATATTTTTATACCAAAACAGGTTACAAAGAACAATCACAATGCATGTGTGTGTTTTGGGAGGCACATTTCATTTCTTAAGCTGAACTTTCTGCAAATTTCTTTTTATTATTTTTAATGTTTTTAAAGAAAAGAGAATGAAATATGTTGATTTTAGAAAAAGAATTTGAGAGAAGGTAACAGAAATTAAACTTTGCTACTAATAGCATCGACTACGTTTTTCTATTTTTTGTGACCAGGTGCTTTTTCTGTAATAAGGTATCCACTAGTTTCATTAAAAAAGAAACTCTCTCTCCTGTAACTTTCCCACCCACTAAGTCAAAATTACACTCTTCTAAAGATAAACTTGCATACTACAAAGCACAGTGATTTAACTCCTTGAGACTTTCTTCAATAACTAGTTTCTAAGCTTCTATGACATTCTTATATAACATTTGTCTATAAAGTAACACTATTTTCTGTCATCCATTCCTCCCCAATCTCTATTACTTGGTTATGTACTTTATCTGCCATTTGGGATTGCCACAATCCAAACCAAGATAGCATCCCTGAATGTTGAGTCTGGAGTTGTACTGCCCAAGGAGGTTTTTAATGTAACTTCCCCCAAAAGCAATTACATGGACTAAAAGTCTTTCTATTTGACTTGCACTGTAAGTATCCATCTTTAAATTCAAATGTGGATCTTTATTTGGCTGCAGCTCCATAAAATGTCATGAGAAAAACTTGGCTGCCTGAAGTTCTCTCCCCCAGCACTGTGGGAAAGCTACTGTTCACTGCACTTTTATTTTCCACCAGGTCCCTGCCCTATGACAACCCTTTTGGTTGTTACTGTCGAGATCAGCTGCCAGTGCTCCCTGTTCTGGTACTTCTTGGACAGGCTCTAATGCCAACCATCACGACTAGTCTGCTTCATTTGGAGGGGCTGGGGGTAGGCAAGAAGCCACAAGAGGCAAAAAAAAAATCCAGTTAATATTCCTCTAGAAGTTCAGGCTTTTTACACCAATTGACAGAAAGATGAGTCCTCAACAGACCTCAGCTGTCACCCTCCTCCCCAGGCCCAGCAAGCTTGTGGACTCCCCATCCCTGGAGGTGTTCAAGGTCAGGATGGATGAGCAGCCTGGTCTAGTGGAGGGTGTTCCTGTCCACAGCAAGGGATTTGGAACTGTTTAAGGTCCCTTCCAACCTGAATCACTCTATGGTTCTATGTTCTCTTTGCTGCTATAAATAAATGCCATCCCGTCTGTGCTTTGCTGGGCACAGCTGAAAGACAGGAGCTAGGAGCATCCCATTCATATATACTTGAAATTTTTTTATTAAACATTTTTATTTGGAATTTAAAACTAATTTTCCTCTTTAGAGAGCTAAATAAAGTTGATGCAATTCTCAGCTGTGTAGGCCTAATCACTAAAATACTACTCTATCACAATGTCCACCGATCAATGTTTAGATGCTGAAATATATCAGCTGAGCAGATGTGCTGTATTTAGCTTTTAGTTAATCTACTCTGTCAGTATTAACTCAGTAAGGTAAAAAACCTTTAGTCAATATAAAAACATGCCAAAGTCAGCAAAGAGCGTAATAATTGTTTAGAAAGGACTTTTCCGTTTCTCCTCTACGGAAGGACCAAAAAAACAAAAATAAAAAAATATCTGACCTGTTGGGGTGACTCCTGGATAAACAGAGCTCCCCTACATTAATGCTAAAGTAAACAGAAGATCTTGAGTTTCCTGACAAATTCTGAGACTGTGGAAAACCTCAAAAGATGCAAAGAAAAAAGGAAAAGGGAAGGGGAGGGGAGGGGGGAAAGCATGGCTGGGGTAAAACAAAAAGCCTGCAGCAGTGGGAGGACTGCAAATGGAGGATGGGACTCATGTATGTTCATGCCCACGTCCTCAAACCACCAAGGACATTGAAAGGACACTTGCCTTCATTCCTAACCACTCTCTTCTTTTAGTTTTGAGCACTTTGCAGAATTATTTTTTTCAGGTCTCCTGTGGTGGGTTGACCCTGGCTGGATGCCAGGTGCCCACCAAAGACACTCTGTCACTCTGCTCCTCAGCAGAATTGAAAGGAGAAAAATATAACAAGTGGCTCCCGAGTCAAGACAAGGACAGGAAGAGATTAGTCACCAATTACTGTCATGGTCAAAACAGACTCCACTTGGGGAAAATAAATTTAATTGATTACCAAGAAGTTCAGAGTAGAAGAATGACACATAAAACTAAATCTTAATATACCTTCCCCCTGACCCTCCCTTCTTCCTGGACTTAACTTCACTCCTGGGTTCTCGACCTCCTCCCTCAGGAGCAGCACAGGGGAATGGGAAATGGGGGTTGCATCACACACTGTCTGTGCTACTCCTTCCTCCTGAAGGTGGGACTCCTCACACTCTTCCCCTGCTCCAGCATGAGGCCCCTCCAATGGGGAACAGTCCTCCATAAACTGCTCCAGCATGAGTCCTTCTCACGGGCTGTAGTTCTTCATGAACTGCTTCAGCGTAGGTTCCTTCCACAAGGTGCAGTCCCTCAGAACAGACTGCCCTAGCATGGGTCCTCCACCACATCACAAGTCCTGCCACCAAACCTGCTCTAGGCTGTGCTCCTCTCTCCACAAGTCATGCCAGGAGCCTGTTCCAGCATGGACTTCCCAGGCTGCTCCAGCACAGGCTCCTCCGTGGGCTGTGGGTGGATGTCTGCTCCACCATGGACCTCCACAGGCTGCAGGAGCACAGTCTGCCTCACTCTGGTCTTCACCACGGGCTGCAGGGGAATCTCTGCTCCACCTGAAGT